TTTTTTTTTTTTTTTTTTTTTTTTTTTTTTTTTTTTTTTTTTTTTTTTTCATACTAAATTACGTCTACCGATAGCGAGTTGAAGTCGGGATTATCCGTATTTCTGTCACTATGTTTATGTTGGATGAAGTACTACCATGTTTGTTATCTGACATTAGCTGCTACGATTAAGGTTGTGTTATCAAGTGAGGAGGCAATGGGTGTTCTGTGTTACTCATGTATGGAGATGACCGTACACTGCGGGTTTGCATCCATATATTAACCTCACACTTTCTACTGGTGAGACATGCTGCAGAATGTCTGTCTATATGACCACAATGAGAGACACGTGATTGTATATCATCACTAAGTATGAAGACAGTGCCCGGACAATGCCTACAAAGAAATGCAACTCATCGGAAAGCAGAGCAGGAAATCAAAAAATCTACTTACCTATGACAGCATGTATAACCATACCCCCAAAACATGCTGGCTTGGACACTACTAGCTAAAAGCATGCTTCCCAACACCCAGCAACCATAACTCTTGTAGCATATGACATGTCTCACCCCGTAGGCATTTCCCTTTCAGATAACTTGCATGCAACTTCCATCCATCCTTTTCAACATATAAGACAACTCTGTGTAACCCTTGATATGAAGTAGATGCAACATCCCTGCACTGCCTGCACCGCCCTCACCTAATCAACAACCATCATGCCTCGAACACGTTCCCACTCCATGCCCTACTCCACCCCCTACCCTTACATCCCAACTTCCCTATACACCCACCCAACCGTTCCCTTCTGCGTCTCCCCAACCCTCGACTACCCCCAGAGTGATGCCTCTTCTTCTCCCCCACCCAGCCCTCCCCAATCCATCACCCCACGTCCCCTCTCCCCACCCCCACACCAACCCTCACACTCCCCACCAGCACCACCCATCCTCCAAAGCAACTACCCCAAACTCTACATCCTCGACGGCGACACCGCCGCCGGCCTAGCAATCCGCTACTTCATCCACGAACGCGGCGGTGTCCGCATACGCGCCGGCTTCATCGACGTCCAACTCAAAGACCAGATCCTGCCCTCCTTCATCTGGGAACAGGAGCATGCGGGTGAACTCCCCATGCTGTTCCTAGACAATCCGACCCGTAGACCGGTGCGCAAAGTCGTCGGCTTCGAAGCCATCACCGAGTACATCGATAGCGTGTCGCCGACGGATCGCTATCTGTACGGGGATACGGAGCAGGAGCGGGCGTTGATCCGCTCGTGCATTCATTGTCTGCGGCGGGATGTGGTCGAGCCGCTGTATGAGTGGAATAATCATTACTTGGGAAACCGGACCGGTGAAGAAGTCACTGGGTATGCGCCTGTGCCGGGACGGAGACGGGCCCTGCAGGAGAGGATTGAGATGACATTGGAGCAGGTGGAGGAGAATCTGGAGGGGCTGGAGTATCTTCTGGGCAAGTTTTGTGCTGCGGATGTGTACCTCTTTGGGATGGTGATTGCGCATGCCGATCGCTGGCCGTGGTTTCTGGATGATGAACGGAGACCGAGAGTCTCGGAGTATTTTGTCAGGATGAGTGAGCGGCCTATGGCGCATTTAGCGGATGAGTTTTGGGATACTACCCGGACGACCGTGGTGGATTAGGATAATGTTTGGGGTTATATATTTGGGACTTCTCTGCTTTGTATATACAGACTGTCTAATATTGTGGGAGTTTCTTTTCTGTCGATATTGTTTGCTTGTTTTGAGTCTGATTAGTTCATGTTCAAGTTGAACGGTCTGCTATAGTATGTCGTACGTGGGTGGGTCAAGCATTGGTCATTTAATATGACAGCTTCTGGGATATGGAATCAAATGTGTGTAGCAGTGTTCATCCGGCTTTGCTCTAGGAATCTACCCGGGCCAAGGGAGAAGCTGTTTCCAGAAGCACCATCAATAGTATGCTTTCGTGTTGAGTCTGGGTTTTGACTTTCGGCATCCCCTCCGTTAGCGCCATGGCGTCCAACAAGGGGTCTCGGTGATAAACCCATTATCATTGGCCGCTGTGGATTAGCGTCTTAGTGGCGCTGCCCCAGCCCGATAAGGATTACAGTATCACAGCATCGGGACTATGGCTAACTCCGTGCTGCAGGCTGTCGAACAGCTACTTAAGGACCACAGCATGGCATTGCGATTTCCATCTTTCCAGTCTAGAAAGCATCAGAATCGTTGTCAACATGCCATCCTTTTCCGCACAGTCCGCTAGTGAAGAAGTCTGCCAAGTCCTGGCGGACCACATCAGAGGGAGCAAAGGTACGTCCAACCATTCCTCCTCAGCGTTTCGAATCATAAGAAGGATCTGACCTCTCAGTCCTCATTACCGGCGTCACACTTGGCAGTGTTGGCGGCGAGGCGGCTCTTCAGCTCTCCCGCCACGCGCCAGCTCTCCTGGTCCTGGCCGGTCGCAACCTGGAGACTCTTCAGGCCACCGAAAATGCCATCAAAGCCGAGACACCGGATGCAAACACCCGACTGCTCATTCTAGATTTGAGCTCGCAAGAAAGCGTTCGCAGGGCAGCTGCGGAGGTGAATAACTATCCGGAGCGCATTGACCATCTTATCAACAACGCAGGCATCATGGCGGCACCGTACTCGACCACGCCAGAGGGAGTGGAACTGCAGTTTGGAATAAATCACATCGGCCACTTTCTATTCACGAACCTGCTCTTGGAGAAGATGGTGAGCAGAGAGTCCAAGGTTCGGGTCGTGAATGTCAGTAGTGCCGGCCATAAGCGGGGACCTGTGAGGTTCGAGGATGTGAATTTCGAGGTTGGTGCAGTCCCGTGATTTATTATTTCGTACAGTTGCGCGCGAGCAAAAGAGCTTTAATTGACGCCGTGGTAGAACGGAAAATGCTACGACAAGTGGCAGGCATACGGCCAGAGTAAGACGGCTAACATGCTCTTCTCGGTATCACTGGCGGAGAAGGCTGGGGACAAAGGAGTGGAGTCATTCAGTCTTTATCCTGGCCGACGAGAGACTGGCATCGGAAGACATTTGAAGCCAGAAGAATGGGTCAAGGCTGGTATGTAGAACTTCTGATGTGACAGCCATTGTCCGGTAGTGTGAAGGATGCTAACTCGATGGCCCAAGGGTGGAAACATGAAAATGGAAGTATCAATGATGACCCTAAGCTGAACTGGAGAACGGCCAGCCAGGGAGCTGCCACCTTGATTGTAGCGGCATATGATCCTAGCATCTCTGGTAAGCACGCTTCACCAATATGGGCGGGTAGATGGTAACGAATTGCAGACAAAAACGGCTCGTATATGGTCAATAATCAAGTAAACAATGACGAGGCGGTGGAATATGCTCTGGATCCGAAAAATGCAGAAAGGCTGTGGAAGCTAAGCGAGGAAATCGTCGGCCAGAAGTTCGAATACTGAATCTTTCCGACGCCATAATCACCGTATGCTGACTAAATCACATTTGTTGGTTCATGGTATTTGGTTATGAGATGGCTGAATGACAGAATGTGGATGGGTAATTTAGTTATCTTCCTTAGCATTGAACGTGCAATAAGCTTGCTGCTACAGCCGAGACTGTAGTTTCTGCGCTGCTTGGCCTACCGCCGCTGCCAGTATAATAGTCCCCAGCCCCTTGTCTGCGCATCCCACCTGGCACTGGGATATGCGGTCAACAAAGCGATGGCAGAGACCGGTAGCCTTCGCCAGACGTCGCTCTAATATCGTCGCGGGTACATGCTGAAATTCTTGAGTTCCTCGCAATACCTTGGCTATCGTAGCATAAACCATTGTCATTCCCAGCCAGTAGAACAATAACAGCGGCACATCATCAGCTTTCGGTATAGATATCTTCTCTTCCGGCTTGCCAGACGGTGTGGCCGTGGGTCCCGCTGTGGGTGGCACGATCATGAACAAAGGATAGCGGCTTTCTGACTGCCATTCGTGATTCCAGTGCAGGAGCTTTCGCTCGAGACTGACAGACACTCGTATCAAGTATGTTGCAGAGTCCCATGTAATCTTGTTGCGAAGAAGCTCATGTTGGGAATATCTGTGTAATTGACCTAACTCGTACAGTATATCAAGGAGTATGTCAAACCTATTAGCTGACGGCTCTGCGTGCGAGGACAAGGTTAAGGAAGGCCCATGATTGATATTGGTACATATATGAAGATACTAAAGGGGGTCAATTAGACGTGCCAGATCATGGATGAAAATGAACCCACCTCAATAGTACGTAGCCGACGCAAATCATGCGCCGTTAACATCTCCGTCGCGGTGTTGGATTCACTAGCTAGCTTGCAGGCTGCCTGAACGTGGACACTCCATGCATGGTCTTGCCCTGACGGTTGTGCGCAGACCTCGTAGAGTGCAAGGATCATGGCAGTGCGGACGAGATCAGAGCAGTAGTCTACTTCTGTTAGTGCACATATTTGCTGCATTGCTTGCACGTAATGGTGTCTGCTGTAATGTGCCAGCGCGTCGTCCTGTTGCAAGGAGGCCATATGTACAAGTGTCAATGCAGCGAGGGCTGTCCTGACGACTGGCGACTCGGACTGAACGAAGGAAGAAAACAATTCTACCCAGTGGACAGGCGACTGGTTCTTTGTCGAATCTGGAGCCTCCGGGGGTAAGTAGTCGCGCAGAAAGATCGAGACCAATTGTACTTGGTGCTGGTACACCATCAAGGATCGACCGTTCCGTCCAGCGATGGCGGTGTTCATGGGACGTGTGTGACTTCTATTCAATCAACGAATTACTCCATCTATACTAGGGCTGTAGTAACAACTTACAAGTCAGAATAGCCCCCACAATTGCGAGCTGAGGATTGGCACCGCATACAAGCAGGCCGGGTCTTGTCGCACTGGCGTGCCCGGAAAGTAAGGCATCAGCTACTAATTGTTTCGGTCGATGGATCACAATATCTCACCTTGACCTTGCGCAGCAGGCAAGTCCGACAGCTTTGAGCCCTCCAGGTGCTCCGACCCATTTTGAAGATACAATCCTGTCCTCAACTGATTTTGTCGCATGAATGCCGGATGGATGTCAAGAAGGAGGGAAAGCGTGATGGATGGCGAGGCTAACGGCTCAAGCGACCGCCGGCACATGACTACGAGCGTGATTAGCGGACACTAATTCGCTTCAGCTAATCAATAACGATAAAGCCAGGTTATGTTGAATCTTGCTTTCTTGGATTTTTGTTTCATGAAAAAGTCTACGTGCTCTCTCCACCCCCAGTTATGCCCTGTCAAGCCTCCGAACGACCCGAAAACACATCCATCAACTGCAAAAGACTATCCCATCGGCCGTCCTTTTGAACCTCAATCGTGCCCTCTGGGGTCATCACCTTGTACTCATCTGCCGACCGTGTGCCATACTCGTAATCAGGCTGGTCATTTACAAAGGCCACTAGATCTCGGATCCAGTCGTCCATCAAAATGCGCTCTGCCGGACTGGGCCCATGCATGATTGAGTAACTGGATGCTGTCAGTACTGTCTCTAGCTAGGTGACGCAGGTTTGCTTACTTCCAGATCGGTCTGTCCATGCTGTGACTCACCCCGAAGGATGCTGGCGCCACCTTTTCAGTGATGAACGACATTCGGTAAGCGATCAGATATCGCCAGACATCCTTAAGATCCACCCCGTGCTCTAGGAGATTGTTCACCAAAAACCGGTAGGGCGCTCGAACTTGCCCGTCGGCGATAATCTGTCCGAAGACAGATTGCCATTCCTGCTTGTCTGTGGAATCTGGTAGGGCGTAATGCCGTAGTAGACGGTCCGTTGTGGCAGGAGAATAGTAGTTCGATACTTGCAGTTTCATAGACTCCACATTGGCCTCCGGACCATTCGTCACGGCATACAGTGTGTTTTCGTCCCGGACTTCCCCAATGAACAACCGCAGGCCGCGTTTCTTGAACTCGGCGGCGAAAGATCCATTGCGATAGTAGTCAAAGACGCCTGGCTGGATGAAGACACCATCGGTGACCGGTCGGAAAGTGTGGTGTTTGAGTTTCATGATCGCATCACATAGGTCCGGTGCACTTATGGCTCGCAGCTTCTCCAACTTCTCTGCCCCTGTCAAGTCTGCTGGAACGTCAAAGTGCTGACACAATTCATCGAACTGTGGCTGGCAATCCTGTACGGTCTTGGGCTGGGATGGAATCGCGTTGGAATGCATGTACAGTCTGCGGAATTTGTTACGCATGGCGTCCTCCATCTCACCCTGGAAGTCATAGAGAACCTGAGCTTGAACCGCGTAAGCGCCAGCACTGCGACCCGAGATTGTGATGTTCTCTGGGTCTCCCCCAAATGCAGCAATATTCTGGTACACCCATTCCAGGGCGAGTCGCTGGTCCCAAAGGCCATAGTTGCCGACTTCTTGGCCAGCCGACTCCTCCCGCAGCGCCTCGCCCGCCAAGAATCCAAAGACATTCAATCGGTAGCCCACTGCAATGAAGATGGCATTCAACTTTGCAGTGGAGATGAGTTCGGTGGGGTCCATTCCCGGCTCTTGGCTGGGGTCGCCAATCTGGAACCAGCCCCCATGAAACCAGATGATGACAGGCCACTTGGGATTGCGCACTTGGGGATCAGGAACGGGTGTCCAGATATTGAGGCGCAGACAATCCTCATGGTAGGTATGTTTAGGCCCACCATGGGAGCTGACGGCCTTGGAGTAATTAGGCTGCGGGCAGACGGGCCCAAATCGCGTCGCATCGTAAGTATCCCCGGGCTGGCCTGCGGGGAGCTGTTGCAAAGGGTAGGGTTGAGGTTTACGCCATCTCAAGTCACCGACGGGGGGTTGTGCGTATGGAATGCCGGCGAAGCGTCTCGATTGGGTGCCATTCTGCAAACCTTTGACAGAGCCAGTCGTTCCCGGCAACTGAATCTGACACTCGGATGTTTGGTAGGAGATGTGGTTTCCCATGTTGCGATAGATTCACTGGTTTAACATTGAGAAAATGACGGGGCTTGGAAGCAAAGGATAACAACGTGGCTTCTTTGAAGTGTTGAAGAGAGGAGGGGTAGTCAAGAGTTTATATCCAGCATAGCCGGTCGCCGATAGATTGTGCTAGTATACTAGTAGATACTACTAAGTAAAGACTATTCCGTTAAGTGCCCTGGTTATCTACCTGCGTGAGGGGTGCGGGCGCCATAAGCCCCAGATACACTCTTATTGGTCGGTGGGCTAACGGTGCCTGTGCCAGATAAGATACTCGGGTTAGGGAAGAGATCGGCATTCTTCGGAGACGCGTGAGGGGATTCCGGTCAGGGGGAAGTCGATGAAACTGTTGAAACTGTGATCCTACTGGTTCAGGGCAGAGTGTAGGCATCCGTCATTCTTGTTCATGGTCCGTCGGCCTCTATTTTAGGCACCGATCGATGCCAAAACCCTAATTAAGGGACAGGGACGCAGCAAGATCAGGTTATATGACCCTCCATCGGGCTGCATCTTGTGGCCGACCAAGACGCCAGGCAAGGCTTCCCCGGCGGGGACTTCTGAACCAAGAAACTGACGCCGTTGTTTCCGTCTTGGAATGTCCTGAAAGAAGGTTTGAGCTGGCGAAAAATTCTGCTGACTTCACGTGACCGTGCCTCAGGTCTCAATCCCCCAAGGGGGCAACTTCAGAACGAATACGATGATCTCCATCCTCCACGCCAACCATGAACGATCAGCTGCCCATGCAGATTCGCTCGCGGAGGTCACACAATAAGTCCCGCGCAGGATGTCAGAATTGTAAGAAACGGCGTGTCAAGGTAGGCCCTCAAACTGCATCTGCCCGGTGGAAATCGGATGAACGTTTTCAACCCTCTGCAGTACTATATATACTACTTCCCTTCTACTAGTACTATATGGACTATAGAGCATTTTCCACCACGATGTTGTCTATTTTTCGTGCTTTGGCTTGCTTTATCCCCAAATCTGCCTCCTATACACCCCTCTCCGGTCATACTGACTCTCCCCAGTGTGATGAGAAAAAGCCACAATGCACCAAATGTGTGCGACATTCGATCGAATGTGATTTTGCTTCCCCGGCCTCGTCGACCTCCCCAGATCCAACCCGCCGATTCCGGTTTCGACCATCCAAATATCAACCCGGTTCACGGACATCACCTCCAAGCACTCATACAGAAGCTGTAAGAAGCTCAGCTGCATCCACATCCACCGGAGTGCAATGTGATCTCGCCGGCAGTGGCCTTTCCGGCGGCATCTCCTTCGCCGATCTGAAGCTCTACCACCATTTTGTGACCTCGACCTACAAAACCTTGACAGACGAGAAAATGGACCACAAACGCGTCTGGTCACATCATGTTCCGCAATGGGGTATCTCGTTCCCCTCCATCATGCATCTAATCCTGGCGCTGTCGGCGCTGCATCTGGCGCATGGGGATCCCGCCTCGCGCACGCAGTTCATCGCTCAAGCGGACGATCACTTCACCTTTGGCGTCCGATCGGTATCTGCTGTTCTGTGTCTGCTCAATACGGAAAACTGTCAGCTGATCTACATGTCTGCGGCATTGATTTGCCTGGTGTATTTCGGTCGTGGACCCCGTCATGGCGAGTATCTGGTGTTCAGTGACACCGGCCAGTCCGAGTGGCTCGTTCTCTTGCATGGTGTCCATTCTATTATCTCGCAAAATCATGATCGTGTCTTCACCGGAGTTCTAGAGCCGATACCGGACAATAGTATCGGTGGCGTGAGTGCCGAGTTGCAGGGAGAACTGGACGAGCATCTGCAACAGGTTCGACAAGTCCAGGCTTTTATCCTGTCTCATGTTACCGATGAAATGTCCCGAGCTATGTTTGAAGCTACCTTAAATGACCTGCGCTCGGCGTTCGAGGAAATATATAAGCTGCGCAGCGCTGGGAAGGATGGCATCTGTCTGATGCATCTGGTGATAGGGTGGGTGTACCGTTTACGGGCCGAGATGATCTCCCTGTTGGAGCAGAAGGACCGATACGCATTGATTGCCTTTGGGCATTGGAGTATCTTACTGGTGTATATGCGGTCATCGTGGCTGATGCAGGGATGGGATGCGCATGTGCTACATGGTGTGCGCACGTCCTTGGGAGAGGAAGACCAGCACTGGCTTGCGTGGCCGATCCAGGTGATTGAAGGGGGAGCATCTACACCTACTACTTCTCTACTGTGATAGTTATATAATAACAGACTGTATATTCTTATCTACATATGAATGACCGGAATAACGAACCACATTAAAGAAAAACATCTTGAACCCTTCCCAAACCATATGCACCAAAATAACCCAATGACGAAACAAAACTAGAACTAATCAGAGTACACAGAAAATCTTAAGCCCCCCTCTCCTCATGCCCAATATCTGTCATGGGCTGACAATACTCCGCCGCCTCCTTGGTCCTCCTCGCCTTCTTAATCAACGTCCCCGGATGATAAACCGCCAACACGGCCATAGAAGCAAACATCAACGCGGCATCAAACACATAGATATAGACCTCCTCGGTATTCAAGGGCGATGTCTCATTGGCCCCAAACTGCACCGTCCGGACAAAGTTTCTCACCATCAAAGTCCCACACGCCACATACAACGCCCACATATACCGCTTCCATCCGTCCATCAACCACGGATTCTCATTGACCACCCACGTTGGCTCGCGACTCAACCGCAGGTGAAATACAACGGCCACCCACACAAACAATAGGAAGATCACCAGAGAGAAAATCAATCCTGCCAGGACGGCTTTGATACCCGTTTTCATGAGGTGCTCGTCACCGGTGACTTGCACCCCGGCACCGGCGATCTGCGTCAGGAAGCAGATGACGTCGTTGAGGACGAAGATCTTGGTGAGCCATTTGGGCCGGATGACGGAGTGGTGCTCGGCGGCGAAGGCGACGATCATGCGTCCGAGGATCATGTAGATGGTGGCGGCGATGAAGGGCGGCGCGCAGAGGATGAGCATCTCTTGCAGGGCCCAGGGGCCGATGAGGGTCCGGCCTTGGTGGGACCAGGCACGGCCATAGTAGCCAAAGGTTTCACCTGATGGGAGATTCTGTTAGATGGATGGATGAATGAGTGGATGGATGTCGTGGTAGGGCTTGGGGCAATGGACAGGGTAAAGAAGGGCTCGACGCACATATTCCCCCGATCACAAGCGGGATAAAGTATGCGGCGCGGTAAGGAAACATCATGACGAAGTGAACAAGGGTCGTAATGCCGAAAATGGCCATGAAGGCGTACCCGGCTGTCGCAGAGGGTGTGTAAGGATAGAAGTCGACATAAGGGTCGGAGCCATTGACACCGGGGTGGAATTGAAAGTCCATGATGAGAGTTCACGGACTGAAGTAAAATACGATTCTGGCTTCTAAGAACGGTTGGATGTGTGAGAGTCTGAAATTCTCAATCTCTGGATTGATGGTCTTATATGTAAGATGACCCTGGAGGAGATCCATGGTGGTATTACCGAATCGGGTAATTCGTGAGCGAGTACGAGCGGGTGCGCGATGAGCTTGTTCGGCGGGACAACAGTGGAGAGGGCTAATTATAGCTGTCGGCGCAACAGGAACAGAGGCCACGAAGATAAGCATTTTCCAAGACCCAGACTCGTTGCGTGTATGTTTCATCCTTGCCAATGGTCTTGCATTTCTTGCCCATGGGTTGAACTGTGTCCAATCCCTTCTGTGGGCAGATGCGGGGTGCCACAAGGCAACGATGATTCCGTAGCAGGGACACTCTCAGGCACCCAAACTCTGTGCCGTGCTCTAACTAGTCTGTTTTCAGACTTGATGGCACTTAGCTCACGACAGCTAGAGCAGTGCCGATCACCCCTACCAGTTCCAGCACGCCTACGCATATATACGAGAATATTGCAAAAAAACTAGGAAAGTTCTATTCGAGCAACGGAAATGCCTCCAATGCAAGACTCCGCAAGTCTAATCTATCACGCTAAGTCCAGAATTGCATCAATCGTAATGCATCTATTTGCCAAAGACCTTGAAGCGGTCCTCCAGGGGCGCGAAAGCCTTCTCGCCAGGCTCCGAGGTAGGGACGCCAAAGACCAGCTGAGCATCGAGCTTCCAAGAGGCCGGCAGGTTCCACTGCTTCTGGATCTGCTCGTCAACGAGCGGGCTGTAGTGCTGCAGGTTGGCACCGAAGCCCTCGGACTCCAGAGCGGTCCAGACTGGGAAGGGAGTCAGCGACTGTTGATGACACATGGTAAAGCCCGTCATGGACCGATGATAATTGTGAAAGAGGGTCGATGACTTACCAAGGTACTGGGACATGGCATTGGACTCCAGGGCAAAGGGGTCAAACTTGTCGGCGTAGATGGCGAACTTCTCCTTGATACCGGCGAGGGAGTCATAATCGACGAAGAAAAGGACCTATTGTTGGTTTAGCGGGATATGTTGGTCAAGCCAGATTATAAGGGCAAACAGACCGTTCCGTAGCCCGCGCGGAAGGCTTCCAGCTTGGGCTTGGTCTGGTTCTCAAAGTTCTCCTTGGGGAGGTGGCCAGCGGCAACCAGACCCTCCATGGCAGCGATGGCGATGTCCCAGACCTTCTGGTGCTCCTCCTTCAGCAGCAGGACGACGCGGGAGGTCTGAGTGTTGAAGGAGCTGGGCACGTGCAGGACGGCATCAGCGACGATGCTCTCGATGGCATCGTCGGAGATGGGGCTCTCGGCCTTGAGGCCGTAGTAGGTGCGGCGGGCCTTGACCAGCTCCAGGAGGGAGGTGGTGGCAGGGTTTTTGAATTGCGGCTGAGTGGAACCCATTGTGGAAGTATTATAGTAAAATTGTTGGTTTATCGATGAAGTTGAATTTGATTGATATTGATAGAATGTCAAACTTGATGTCGGGGCGGGACTACGGCTTATATAGATATGCGGTATTTGATTTTACCCCGCCAGTCTGGTGGGGGACATTTTTCCATTCTATTGAACACTTTCACCTTCCTCATTATTTTTCATTATTATCAATCTGCATTACTGTGGCGTGATTACCACGCTGGACCAATCAGGATTTGTAAGCCGGAGAGAGAGACCCTCACTAAACACTCAGGGAATTAATCAGCTCTTAGCAAGACGCGGAATTAGCTGCCTTCCACCGGAACACGGATTTACGCCAGTAGGTAAGCAGGTGCTTTCGTTCATCTTTGCGCACAGATTCTGCTGCAAACTTCCATGCTCCTCTCCCTTAGTTTATCCAGTGAAGTATATAGTTACTATGAGGGGATGCATGGATGAGTGGCCGGAATTGAAGTCAGGCACGTGAGGACGATTCCTTTGATGCCTGAATGAGGAGTCACGACTCAGAGCTCCACGTGATCGGCACTTTTATTCGGCCCGACGGGCACATGACTTTCTATATGCCTCAGGCAGAAATGCGGATGATCCTCGGCCAAGAATTACTAACTCTAGTAGTACTGCTTCGTATGTTTCTATGCAGTTAACCTCGATCTATCCTACTATTATCTATTCCATTATCTAGCCTATTATATTCCCTCGCGGTTCATTATACTTCCGCTGTCTCTATGTATAAAGCTTCTCTTTTGTAGCAAGCTAGCTTCATACCTATCATTCCCGGCACCTCATCATCTCGCATCCGACGCGAACAATTAATGCTTACCTATTTACCCGGAAGCATGACTGGCGTGGAAATAAATGCAATACCCTGACAGAACACGACAAATATAACAAAAAATTAATCCATCGAAGCATCAACCTAAAAACATTCTAATCTATATGCCATGCCGAGAGACCAAAAAGAAAGACCCATAATGACACATCCGTTACCTGTTGACACGCCGAACATTCTAGAAAGCAACCAGCTAGAGGCCACCTGAAGCGAGAAAGCGAAGAAAGAGAAGAAGCCCGTAAGAAAGGGAGATGCGATGACCGCAAAAGGAGAAGAGGATTATCTGGCTGTCCCACGAATCATACCAGGTGCAACTCTTTTTTTCGCGGGGTGTACCAGCTGGGCTATTCTCTCAACAAGATGAGAATCGGGCTGGCGCCCATGTGTGGTCCACACTTCCCATTGGATTTCCAGTTGTGCACCATAGTTAATGACCCATGAAACTTTTACTGGGTACTCACGGTAAGCCACCTGCCCCCGCCAGAGCGTCTCCAAGCTGTGCTGCATTTGGGTGGGTGCGGTAGCTGGGGTGTAATTCACGAGGACGGCTAAGATAACATGTTAGTCGCCAAGGGAGATCCAGCCCGACGAAGGGAAGGCTGGAAGATACGCGAAAGAGGAATAGAGAGATACTGACGTGGACTTCCATCTGGCGGTCCTAAGCTGAACAGGTTGATGTTACGCCCCATCTCATTGGGCCGGAAGCGTACTACCGCCGGGAACTCTCCTTGCCGCGGAACATTCCTGCACCCCTTATAGGGTCAATGGTGTTAGCCAATCCCTCTCTCACACTCTGCCATGTCTCCTGAGATAGCCGAGATGTCTCACCTGTCTGATGGTAACAAATGTGTGACAGCCGTTTGTAAACCCATTGTGCCCTGGTTCGATGAAGGGAAGCCAAAGCTCATAGCCTTTCAAGCTCTCAACGCGTCGTGGCTGATCGATCGCCTGCAATACCGCCCGGCGCGCGACGGCACTAATACTACCAAAAAAAAGTCAGGATCTGTATCCCTGCCTGGAACATAGCGAGAGGCATTAAACCAGGGTGATCGGAATTCGGTTTGACTTACGCCTGGGTTATGGGACCCAACAACCCTGGCCGGCTGTCCGCGGGAAGATCGTCGAGGCAGTTTCGCATGTACACGCGGAAGTACTGGGATTTACTCATTCCTGCTACCACGACGACCTTGGTTACTTTACCTCGGTATCCTGCGATCATCTGCGAGATCAAATCATAAACCTTGGTTACCAGCAGACGAAAGGCGGCGACGAGATCCGCGAAATCAAATCGATGGGGGACAAGAGCATGCCCCCTCAAGATCTGAACCTCAACGTGGCTCCCCTCCTCGCCAGTAAACTACTGCTTGGCTTCATTAACAGCACGGCGTGCGATAGCTGCAGGCTGACCACGCCGGAAAACCTGGGTGCTGTGGAACCTATTGCGAAGTTGCTGGACCAGACCTGAATCTACATCCACACCCCCACAACGGATACCTGGGCCGGATTAGCTATCAATCACACCGGCCAGACCAACCGTAAACCAAATGCTGTCAATACATACTTCTTGGCACGTGCGGGGCCTTCATGTTGTGGGGCGGCAATCCGTCCACCTCGATAATGTCTAGATCCTAGAACGCTCCATGTTAGCCTGACTGGCCCATCCATGACCCTGATTAAGCACCCTTACCGTTGTGGCTCCGCCACAATCACAAACTAGGAGCACATCCCCAGGATGAATCCCAGCTAGTCATTTCGTCTTGCACATCATCCTGGAATGTGAGAGGGAGATGTTGGAGGATTGTTGCTCACCTGGATGCCTTGACTGGCCCTGAGACTGAATTCAACCCATCGGGCCGCAGCCCAAGACTCAGAAGTGTATAGTACCTGGTGGCCTGGCAACTCGAGGCGGGCGTGCGTAACGGCATCTCGGAATACCTGCGATCCAACAAGAGGCCAGCAGCCTGGCATGGCCAGGCACCAGGTTACCTGAGGATTCACCGTGTGTGTCCGGAGCGTCGCAAGAATTTGCAATCGAAGTGCACCCAAAAAGTCCCCGATGACTGTCTCCACTGATCTTTCACCTGTTGTACCTATTCTCCCAGTCACGATGCCTTCTAGCTTGGATCCGCGTATATGCAAAGCCGGCGATCCGTCAACAAGAAGTTTCGTCCAGGCTAATGCGTCATCGCAATCGACAGCCTGGTGACCCCAAACAAATCCACCGTTGGTATCGTAAGCCATAACAGACGGTATACACCAGTCATCATCGTTTCCAGGCGTCCAAACACGGATGGGGATGTTGGGGCCGGCGTAGGTTATCACTATGGCGAAAATCCTTTCAATGTTAGTGGCTGCCCGGCCCAGATACAATCAACATTCCCACCAAGCAGATAAAGAGGTGGGGTGAGGGAGGGCTGGGGTTGGAGAAGGGTGGCTTGCCAGTCTTTGTAACACCAACGTCGATGCCTACGGAGTATTTGTCTGGGATTGGTTCAGTAGACATGGTTGATCATTGAAGATCCAGTATAATGTGGTGAGAAAACGAAAGATGGCGAAGTAAGAAACCGTAGACGACGTCTGATACTTGAACTTTACCAAGATGGACCCTGGGAAAACACACGATTGAACTATAGTACTTATATCTCTACCATGTCTCTCATGGAGCGGGGGAGGTACACTATTATAATTCCAAAGGCGCCAGTTAATTTTGAAAGAGTAGGTAAATCTGTCCTTCCGCGCACTCAGCCAAGTGTCTCGCTTTGCCATTATTGCCTTTGGCCCTTCCTGCGGCCCCTATTCTGAAAAACCTACCAGCTAAGATGTGTTAATGTTGATGGTCCTCAATGTGGAAGAAGGTTCTTGCGGCTTGAGACCCTTGAGGTTGGTTAACTTGGGGAATACGAGATGGTTTTCTCATGAGAATTACCACACGAACAGCGGCCAGAAGAAAAGAAATAAAGAAATATATAAAAAAGAGAAAAACAAAAGAGGAAACAACAGATGGGTGTATAAAAGTACATGAAGAATAATAAAAAAAAAGAAATATTTAACAGAAAAGTATACAAAGTACCCAATGATGATTTTATTTTAGCCAAATTGGAATAATGACCGTTCGTGCATGGGGCCGACCTCCTTATTCCACACTTGGTCATATTCCTTTCTTCGCTCTTTGTTCCTTTCCTTTCTTTTCTCTGTATATCACTTTTCTTATCTTTGTCTAGTCTCGATCTCTTCGGCCTGTTTCTCCTTTACACACCCTCACCCACAGACAACCCCCTTCCTTCTCTCTCTCTCTCTCTTCCTCCATGAAGTCTATCATCATTGCTACCATGGCCTCTCCTAGCACCCAGAAGCAACTTTTTAAGCGCTCCAGCGATGAAGAAAGGGAGGAGTTTCCGCTTAAGTGCCAGAGCCCAGTCCCTAACCAAGCCATCTACCCCAATGAGATGTACCTTTGTCGACGAGATGAGTATCACGAAATGATAAATCATCATAAAGCTGTATTTTACAGCCGCACCAGATACAGGGCGGCAGAGGTGACGGTCGGCGATGCTTTTGAGTCGGTATTTGTTCGAGTGAGAACATGGGCAACCATGTGGGGAAAGGGAGAGTCACTCTCACTCTTTCCGATTCGGATAAACAGGCGATTATCGCCAGCTTGGATGAATACTGTGTCCAGGAAGACTGGGATAGCATTCTTCTCAACCTCCCTCCTGATGCTCGTGCTAATTTCGGATTGATCTTGGTTGAGACAATGCTAAATCAGTTCATCTGTACCAAGTTCATAGACTCTCCCTTTTGGTTCATGGACGGAAAGATCACTGCCACCGATTCAGAGACCCAGTCTGACTTCCACAAGAGGTTCCAGTACGTGTACGAGAAGCTCATCCAGGGTCAGTCCATGCACACCACTCTTTCCTTTGCATTTTATTATCATGTTCTTTTGTTCTGCTCTTGTTTCTTCGTCCCATCCATCCTTGTTTCTTACTTCAACCTTCTCACCGACAGACAACCTGATTTACTGACCCTAACAAAACTACAAAGTTTCCCGCGAGGATGCAGCATGGTGGAAATCCATCATTGTCGGAAAGCTCAACGACGAACCCTGCGTGATGAACAACATCCCGCCCACCCCCGTCGGCCGCACCACGGTCAAACATCGCACGGCGCTCGTGAAGACCTATACCGATGAGTTGATGTGTTCGCGGCTCTTTCAGCTCTTGCTTCGGGATCCAGTGACCAAGTACAAACGGTACCAGCGCAAGAAGGACCTGCGCTTACTCCTTGAATGTGCCGCTCAGACCGTCATCCACGCCGATGGTGGTCTCTACGGCAATACGAACATCGTGCGACTGCCAGATCTGCCGAAATTCAATCACTGGTCGGGCCAGATGATCGTCCATCCCTTCCACGCAGGATTTGAACCCGTCGAAGGAAGTCGGGTTTTGATTGTGACGCGGCCGAGCTACAGCTACATCGACGTCCTCTCCCTCAACCACTTCGCTACGGTTCCCCCGTGGAGGGCGAACCGTGCCGAAGTACTGGTGGCTGCCAAGGGGAGAAAAGCACGGGCACTATGGGCAGCAGCAGCAGCCGCCGGTGATGACCGTGAAGACACCGATGGAAGAGACAAAGAGGAAGGAGACAGCCAGGAAGATGATGACACGGAGGAGAATGCTGAGCCCGTCAGGGATCTCCCACCGCTACGCGAGACGTTTTGGCGGCAGTAAACATGCTCTTCACTGTGCGGGACTGGGTGTTGAGAAAGGAAAGCCCTGAGGGGTGACAGTAAACCGTGGGCTTGTTGGCCAATTCAGTACTTTTGGTCGGTCGCGTTCAGTTTCTGTACAATGTAACTTCAGTTTTCGTCCTTGTACCGCCAGTCCGTAGCGTGTTGGGTGTTGTCTGATCGTAATTGAGAGTTCCCTGACTTCATCGTGGGTGTTTAGACCCTTTCACACGACGGCTGTAATTATCCGGCCGTGACAAGGCTACTACTCTCCTCGATGCTGCTGAATACTGACTACAGTAACCGTTCATAGTATCTTGTGAGCTTCCTTCTACCGGGAAAAAAAATAAAAGCTTCTTGGACAACCTTTCAGTGCGAGGTAGTGGCAGTGGAGATGAATGGCAGAAGCAATGCCGGGCAAACGACGGATGCCTTAAATGGTGCACCAGAAAGAGTAGTAAAGTTGTGCCAGGCATACTGCTTTTCTCCTATGAGTTGAAGAACTTGGAATTAATACATTCTAGATACACAGGTGATTACTATATAGTGGATGATACCCCGAAATTTTAGAAGCAGAAGGAAAGGCGACAGCCAATGCGACCAAAAATAGGTCGACATTGCCGTAAAGTAAGAAAAAAAGAGAAGGAGACATTGCAACAATCTGAGCCGATTAATAAAGAGTAAGACCAAAAAAA